GTTCCCTAAAACAATTTTTTAAAAACTATGTTGTTTAAAATTCCTTAAATGTTAATATATTTAAAGTATACATATGCTGTAATATATTAAAGTCAAAACAATGTTGGAAGGCTTTTGAATTATCTAATTTTGAATTATCTAAGTTAATCTATTTAAATGTTTAATCCCATTAAATTTTCAATCCATGGAGTATTTTTACTAATCCCGTGAGCATGTTGTTTTGTTATTGTAATCAATTTATACACTATTTTACTAATAAATTATTTAATATTTATGTACAAGGAGGTCTTTAATAATATATGATTGTTTTTTGTCGTATACTATTTTATTGTATAATTTTCTTGCGTATTATAAAACTTTTATTAAATATTGCATCTTATAATATAATACTCCCCAAATAAATATATCCCGTGTCTCGCGCAGGTCCTGTACTATATATATCTCATACATTTTTTTATTCATTTATATAATTATTAGGCTGAATAAATAACCTTAAAATTGTGCACCTGTGCATCGCACGGGCTCTGTACTAGTGTATTTTAAAAGTTGATAACTTATGTATTTCTTATCGGTTTTACATATATTATATATCAAATTAATCATCGTTTGATTATCTTCAATTTGACATCCATATTGTATATATGAAATAAATAAATTATATTTATCTTTATAATAATAAAGAATAATAATATTTATTAAAATTTATTAGAAAAATAAAATTATTTATCAATTGATATATTTATTTTTATTGTAGATATATGTTGTAAGTTAAAAAATTATTATAATATGACATAGGTAAGTCGCACAAAATAAATGGCATACTAAATATATAATAATATAAATTTTTGTAAAAGGTATTTAAAATTTCAACTATTTTTTCTCATTAATTTTATATTTTAAGAAAAAAATTAGCAAGCACTCCTGTAATACACGGGTGTTGTACTAGTATTTTTAATTTATATATATTATTTAATGAGCATTTTTAATTAATAAATATTAACGAATATCTCTTGTTCGTGCATCGCACGAGATTTGTACTAGTTTTTTTAATAAAGATTACGAAAAAAAAAATAAAAAAAAATAATAGTATTGATACATCGAAAATAATGTATATAGAATAAATTATTTCATAAACATTAAGTTAACTATTTTTTATTTTATTTTAACATAAAACACATTGTACATTTTTATATTTAATCGGTATGTGTGTATTGGTGTAATCCGTATATTCGTAGGGTGAGTTTGGTTACTATAATTGATTGAGCTTGATTAATTCTCATTAAAAAAAAATTGAGTGATATCCTCTTGATAGAAAGGGTATATTAATTTGTTTGGTTCATAAT